ACATCAAACAGGACATCGACACAGAATGACGTCAACGTTAGATACAAGAGAAGACCTTAACGGATCAGGAAACAAGTACCGAAAGTACAAGACCGAAGACGACGACCGATAAAAGAAGGAAGAACGGAGGCAAGAACTGACAACAAGCGAACAGAGACGAGGACCGATAACAGAAGAACAGAGACAAGGACCGATAACAGTAGAACTGACAACAAACGAACCGACGACGACCGATAACAGAAGAACAGGACAGGGATCGATAACAGAACAAGTGACCACAGACGAAAATAGACGTTGACCGATAACAGAAGAACAGATACATGGATCGATAATAGAAGGACTGACAACAAACGAACAGAGACAAGGACCGATAACAGAAGAGCTGACAACAGAAACAGGGACCGATAACAGAACTGACAACAAGCGAACAGAGGAACAGAGACGAGTACCGCTAACAGATGAACAGGACAGGGACCGATAACAGACAACGAAGACAAGGATTGATAACAGAAAAATAGAGACGAGGACTGATAACAGAATAACAGAGACGGGAACCGATGACAGAAGAATTAACAACAAGAAAACGGGGACCAGGACTGATTAAAGAAGAAAATAGACTAGAACCGATGACAGAAAAACGAAGACGAGAACCGATAACAGAACAGGAAAGGGACCGATAACAGAACATCTGACAACAAAAGAACTGAGAACAAAAGAACTGAGACCAGGACCGAAAATCACGACCAATAACACAACTCACAACAAGAGATCTGCAACGTGGACAGATAACAAAAGAACGAACGCCTACATCCAAGAGTAATCAGAAAAAGGTGCCTTTATAGAAATCTAAGTAGCCACTCTATATGCTTGCATAGAGAGCCAGATAAAATATATGAACGCTCTATATCTATCTAGCAGATAGGGCAGAGAAAAGTATAGTGCTCGTTGCGTAAATTTTCAGGACTATCTTTAATATTACTTCTATATTACTATTGGCCTATAGAAAATGTCCGCCATCTTGGATTTTCCGCCAATATTGGATTGTTTCGTTTTAATTCTGTTTTGGTGTCTAATTTGTTTTTACCTGAACATGCTTTGTGACAAATTTCAGGCTTTTCCATTCCTTAAAAGTTTTATTTGCTATATCATCCATTTATGATAAAGAAATTTGGCGGCCATTTTAGTGGTCATTTTAAATGGCCATTTCTATGGTCAAGATCAAGTTTTTCAATTTGGTATCCACCTTTATCGGATTCAGCAAACCTTAAATAGGTAAAATACACCAAGATACCACATGTACTACAAAATGCCTCCAGCATCTTATAGAGGGCCAAATTCTCAAAATCAGTCCTGTCTATAATTGTGATAAAACAAATTGGACCAATTTATGGATACTTTATGAAATAACATAATTATTATTTTTTTAAACTGTTAATTATTAACTTTTTTTTCATAACTTTCTAGAAATGTTAGAAACAAATGAGCAATTAAAATCTTTATGAAAATGAATATTAAACTATGCCAATGGTCAGTTTTAGAAATTGTAAAAACTCACATAGAATTTGCATATACACACTTTTCCTCTGTATAAGGTGCTAAATTTCAAACACTACTGAAGACTTGGCAATGGATCTTCAAAAAAAACCGCTGGGTAGATTTAGCACATATTCAGTCTTGTCTATCTTACAAACAAAGCGCAAACCGTTTTGGCGTCCATCGGTCTACAATTTCTCTGTTTCACCAGCGTTTTCGCCGAATGGCGTCAGATTCCACAGGCGGCTATCCGCACCGTAAGGTCTATGAGGCGACGATGTACATCTGTAAGAGACGCTGATGGAGGATATTGTCGTTTCTAAAGATCCCGACGGTGACATTACGAATAAACATTTATGAGTGACTTTGTTTTTGATTTTCATTTCGGTTTTTGCCTTTGTGAGGTTTGCATTACTGTCATGAAAAAGTGTGATTTAGGGATTTTCACCTTAGGTTCTTCAATTTACTGGTGTACATTTAATTTATAACCTTTTGAATTATTTTCAGTTGTTAAGTTTGCGTTTTGTATTAAAGTAATGATATATATCTAATGGAGTCGTAAGTGTTTTGTTTTCATGTAATAAAATGCATATAGTGCGGGCGTGCGTTTTCATTGTACTTAAGTATAGTAAGCTTATAACAATGAAATTGTCCTTTCTTGCTTGATGTAAATATACCAACCAATTCTAATACCTACCTGTAGTAATAGTATTTTTTTAGATTTCTGTCATCACTGCAGCAATCTGTTATCACTTGCACCGGTAATGCAGTATGGTTTGTCAAGTTAGCCGAGGACAAAAAATGCATTTTTAAAATTTATGTTATCAAGGTCTATAGTTCTACATTCAAGACCCAATTGGACTTGAATTAAAAAGTTTCGTTAAATTATTCTTGGTTAAGCCTTGAGCAACATGAAATATGTTTCGGTCATCTGGTTTTCCTGAGCTTACTTTTTTTTATTTTTTAACTACTGTATAGGGAATATAGGGGAATATAGTAGCAACTAAGGCCCAATTTAATCAAAGGGCTGCAGCTCTATGGTATTTTCTGATCTTTGCAATCTAAATCATACTGACTATCTGTATGTACTTTCCTGTATAAGTTTATTTTTATATACTATAATTCATCTTACGCAGCGACAGCGTTTAGATTTTCTTCTATAACAGTTTGAGATTGATACATATGGAATTTTGCATGAAAAAAAGTAGAATTGCCTCGACTAGGATTTGAACCATAGGCCTCTCACACCCTCAACGAGACCGCTTACCTCTGCACCACGGCGAAGTAATACATATGTACCTTGAATAAAAACGAATACATTATGTAATTCTAAATTGAGAATTTCCATTTCGTGTTTGCAATCCTTATTAATTTCGAGGTATTTTGTTCACGATAAACCTGTTGTTTAACACTGATGAAAATAATTTAGCGAAAATCTTCTCGCCAAAACAGTCCGACATGTATATATTCCACTACTCGACAGTCAGATTTATTTGTGTACTACGCTCTGGAGTATTCATTAATCGACATAGCTAAAAATAGCATTTTCATTGATTAAAATGATATTCATGATAATCCGAAGCTTTACGGAAATAGCCGAACATTTTTCATTGGGTAAAAAAGATATTCATCCGCGAAATTTGTGATTGTAACCTCATATTTCTATTGACTAATCTAAACTTTTAATGCACTGTAATTTGTTAAATGCCTACATTAAAAATTATTCTTTCTTTTAAATTGCTGGTTTTTAAGCAGTTTTGAGTGAGAACTACTTTGCGTTGTTAGGACTGTAAGGAAATTTTGTGTTAGACCGTGGATGTTAGCTATGTATTTACTGATCTTACGATCAGAAAATACAAAAATGAGGAAAAGAGCTTAATGAAATGATGGTAAACAATTACATTTACTTAGATTGATATGAACTTTTGAAATTTATTTGAAGTAATGCATTTGTACTATAATGCTTTGGTTGGGTTTCAATTTTTTTTTGACAGTGTTGGCGCGATTCGTCTAGAGCTGTTTCAACAGACTTTGAAGGGAATCATCACCATTTTCATAAAAAGTACATTATTCACTACATCCAAAAAGTGAAGAACTATATACTAATTTAAACCACAAAATACCAAAAGTAATGTCAAGTTAAGAATTTCTGTTAAAGCATAAGTTAAATTGAATAAGTGTTCGATTAAAAGCAATGATACTTGTTATCATGGTATGTGTGCGTCGATAGCAGAAAACAGGCATTTCATTAATAAGGGGCATAACTCCTAGAGGCATACTTCAATAAGGGATGTGAACAAAATAGCACATGAAATCAAATGTGAGAAAAAATACAAAGGTTATATAGAAAAATATTATTATGAACGTCCTAACATGTTTTAATTTCTTAAGTTAATATTAGTTTAAGATATACATGAAGATGTTTTAAACAGCTTGCTTCAATAAAAGTAATCTATAAATCCGACGAAATGCTGCAATCCGTATTGTTGTAACATCTTCTTTTAAATCTAAAACATTTAATGCATAAAATTAGTAATTTTTTTTTTTGGAAAGTTGTTCTAAAGTTTCGTGTCCATATATCATTATTTATAAATGAATTTATATCTCAATCTAACGTTATATGTGGCACCTGTAGCCGTTGACTACAAACCACTTGGCCCTTACGCTATGAGTTCGAGTCCTGCCAGGGACCTTAGATTCCTTTATATGAGGAAGCTATTCAGCTTGATTGCGGAAAATTGGTGATTCTTCTCAGGTGGCCGCTCGTGCCTGTGCCTTCCTCCCACCTTCTCTATAAATATACATGTTATTCATATGGACGAGGAGCGATAACTAAATACGAAACGCTTGCTAAAACATAGCTATTTTAAATAAAGGTTCTAAAAAAATAAGTCGGAGTGAAGTATAAGTGGCATCATTTCGGAGATTTGAAACTAATTTTATATTTGTTTTTTTTTTAAACGACAGAGACCAATGTCAAATAATCCACTTTTCAAGCCGAAAAGCAAATCCTCATATTTAACCGTGAGTGCATATATGTCTAGTGAATATGCATTTCAATTAATAAACGCAATATTTGTTAGAACAGAGTTCAATTGCATATTATTAAAGGGGTATTGCGAAAATAGCAAGCTCTCAACGAATTATGTCTAAATCAGGTTTGTTAATCCATTTCGAGAATTATTTTCAAAATGCGATGTACAGTCATTTTTTTCAATTTAAATTTCATCCAACATTTATCAATGAAACCATAGAAAAATTAAATTAAAACCTTTGATGGTAGCTTATCGAGTAAGAAATGCAAACTATTTTATATGATAGTTACATTTTCTTATCAGAAATCAAGTAGATCTTCTTGCCTTCGATATTTTTTACTTTATCATTTGTTTAAATGTTTGCAAGAATGTAAATCAGGAATGAATTCCTACTTATAAATTTCAAAAAGAGCTCGATTAAAGAAAATTGTACTAGTCTAGATCTACATGTATCGTGATTTTTGACATTTTGGCGGGTAATGTAAATTATACGGTTGTGTTACTCGCACGTAATCGGAAGCTATTTAACGCTATGTAAAACACGGAGGTGTTACAAATGTGAGATCACATGACTGTTAGCGTACTTGGATACCACACTTGACTTGCCATAGGTGAAAGCAGGCGCGTGGATTACAACTGTGAAACTTAATTTAAAACCATTATGTCCTAGATGATGTCTTAAAGTTTGGAATTAACAATAAAAATGAGTAGTAGAATGAATGGATATTCGAGTGATCGAGAAAGACGTCCACCGTCTGAACAGGTGAGCCCTAGCGCACTGTCCAATTACGAACTGAAAGTAGAATTAGTAATTGGTTTTCGTGAGGAAAACTTTTTAACAAGTTTGAGTCTTTGAAATAGATAAAGTCTATAGAACCGGTTAGATTAGAATTTGTAACTTCTGTTTCACAGACATAATATTCTTTTTTTTTAAATATTATTTGACATTGGATAAACCAATACGGCAATAGTCTAAACAAAATTAATATCATGAACAGTTTAATATCATGAACAGTTGTTCACGAATATTATGAGTTTAAAAAAGATTTTCAACATGCAACATTTTTTTTCTTCATGACTTTTCAGACGGAAACATTGTAGATAACGTGTTTCAGTTAACATTAACAGTATATTGATAAATGGATTAATCATTTGCACCCACTAGTGTAAATTAAGTTATAAAATTGTGGTGGTTCCATTTTGATTGCACTGAGCACATATAGTATTATTTTTGAAAACCCAACAACAAAAAAACATCTGGTTATTCATTTATTTTTGGTTATTATTCTTAGCTTAAAACTTTGTAGATGTGATAATCATCACTTGGTAAATTTTGCTTGCATTCAACCACTCTAAAATCCTCTAAAATTGTGATTGCATTATAATTTCTTCTTTTGATACATTACAAGAAAATTATTCCAGTTTGAGAAAGGGTAAAACTAAAATTTCAGAGAATTTGTGGTTCTTCACAAAATCCGTCTTGAACAAGAAATGAACCGCATCAGATATGAAGGGATTTTTTTGGTAGCATTACGTTCTCATATGTACTATTGTAAGAAATTGAGTATGCCTTCATTTGGAGATTTGTTTCAACTTAGCTTAGGCCTATACCTATTTACATTTTCAATTTTCCTGCTTGTTTGATTATCATTATATTTTCATGTGTAAATTTTAAAGATTGTGGGTACGAGTCCCAGACTAGGCTGACTTACTATTACTGATTATGGTCGTGACAATAATTCTAGCTGCTACATGTATTTGAGTGGAATTGTTTCACTTAATTTCAGAGAATATGTTTTTGAGGTATATTAAACCTCAAGAATTATAAATCTTAACAACTTCTCACTTCAAGATACTGAAATATTATTTATTGATGTTACATTTGATACAAACAGATAATTTTTTTGCTTGAATTGTGAATTCCTGGCATATATATTATTAAATGATTTTCATATTTATGCATCAACTTTAAAAGAAATAAAGCTTTATTATTTTAATGTGCTTTGAAAAATTAAAACACATAATAAATTATTCATTGTCAAAAATGCATTAAAAATATTTTTGATTTTATTTTTGTAACATATATACCTCTATGCAATTTTGAAAAATAATGTGATACGTTGTCAAATATAAACAAAAGGGTATCTCAGGCATATCAAAACTTGATATGCAAAAATACCTGTATTGTTTTCGTGGTGTATTGTGTTTTAAGTGTTTCAGTCTGTAGAGTAAATAGCTACAAATTGACTAGTCTTAAAGTAAATAGGATTTCCAGTTCAATAAAAGATTAAACTATGTTTTCATTACAATTGTATTACGCTACGAAGAATTTGGTTTAAATATTTATCTGTAAACATTGACAAAACTAACAAAAAATTTGAACATTTATTTGTTTGATCCTCTTAAACGGTTTATGCAACTTAATATTTGATATCATAAAAAGAAAAGATATTTTGGCGTTGTTTAGGCAACCGTACACCTCTTGTCACACAAATCTGATATTATAAAAGCACACCGTTTTTTTTGTTGTGTGAAAGATTACTTTTATAACCTGTTTAAGTCTATTGTCACTATCTTTAATTTTAGTTAATAAATAGACATGTAGTGTAGTATCTATTGAATTCAGGAATGATTTAATGACATTTACATTTTCACATATCCTAATCTTTAATAAGAAAAGATCTAAGATTTAACATGTGAAGTCACACTGTACTTTGTATAATAGCCATTTAAGAGTCATTTTAAGGGTATTAGTAAAATATGAAAGACAAAATATGGAAGATGATAGACAAGTTTTTGAACTTAGAGGATCTTGAGTGTGTTTCATAATGATTTTTTTTAAAGTAATTTAAAACATAAAATTCTTGCTCGTTAATCTGATATAGCCGATATGAACTAGCTTCAATAGTTATATTTAAATACCCCCACAATGACTAAAATAGCACCAAAGACAGTGAACTCATTTGAGTTGTGTCATGACAAAACCAACATCATGGGTTTGCGACCAGCATGGATCCAACCAGCCTGTGCATCCCCGCAGTCTAATCAGGATCCATGCTGTTCACTTTCCAACTCTATTGCAAGTAGAGAAGCTGATAGCCAACAGCATGGATTCTGATCAAACTGCGCGGATGCGCAGGCTGGTCTGGATCCATGCTGGTCGCAAACCCATTATGTTGGTTTTGTCATGACACGGCTCATTTCATGACTGGCTCTAGTATATCAAGGATCATTTTTATTTGACTGTACTTTAAAATACACAGCCAAATGTTTTGATTTCTATTTACAATTATCAACAAAAGTACATTCAATGTGAGATCTTTTATAGTGAACATTTCAGTTATTGTGTGAATATACACATACACACACATCCAGTCTGTGAAATATAAGAAAAGAAAATGTTTGATTTACAATATTCTTTATCACATTTGTATGTCTGTGGCTATTGTTGACTTTTATGTGAAATTCATGACATAAATTAATGTAAGAATGTTATGATGTTTTATTTATATAAACTTTTATGTACAGGATATGACCATTTTATCAATGACAGGAAGTTCTCAATGCAAGCTGACTGTAAATGTATAAATAAACTATTTAGGAATCTTACTGTGATGTACTTCCTTGTGAACAAATGCCATTAAGATAATTTATTATATACTTTGAAATGAAATATTGAGAAATATTGATGAAATAAAATGCGTATTTTCATTTTCCGTATTTTCACTGTAAAAATTTATTTTTCACTGCAGTGAAACATATTTTCCGTATTTTCACTGGTGTCTTGCCGGACTACTTTCTTTTAAATTCTGCCAGTACTCAAAATTTAAGGGAAAGTCTTGCAAATTTTAATGTCCAGAAAGAGAAAAAATGTATATAATAAACAGAAAATTCAAGTTTTTTCTATAATACATGATTTATTTTCATCTTGTGGCATGAAAATTACCATATTTCACTCGTGGCTACCGCCACTCATGAAATATTTATTTTCATACCACTCGATGAAAATAAATCATGTATTTATAGAAAAAACTTGAATATCCTCTATGTATTAAATTTCCCCTTAAAGATTCATGCTAATTTTCATGAAAATTTTGAAAATGTATTTGAATGTATAATTATATAAATATTGTGAAGTAACCAAAAGGAAGCAATTTACACATTATCAATGGCACTAACAAACCATGTAAATTACCAAAAAGTGATCAAAATATGCATAATTAGCCTTTTACTGCATTAGTAACGCAGTAGAAATATAGTTGTAAATACTGAAAAATCAGTCAGTACTCGCACATAATGCTTACTTTTCCTTACATCTTAGTACATTTTTCTGAAGTTTGCTTTTATTGAAATATTTTGACTCATCTGGAGGCATGAAGCTTCAAGACAAAAGCTTTCCCTGAAGTAAACACTTCATTTGTTGAAAACATTTTATGATTTTTCAGTTTTTGTTGATTTTTCCGTTCTTTTTTGTAATGAATTTTCAGTTTTTTGTTATGGTTTTTTCAGTGGTTTTTCTTCAGTTTCTTCCCATGAAATGATTCATTGGTAGTTAAATTTTACCTGTACAAATCATGTGATTTTCTAAAATTATATAAACAAAAAATATTCTGTTTGACAAATAGGCATTGCATGCTTAAAGTACTTTAAATATTAGGTATGTTAGTGTAAAATAGTAATATGCAAATAAGTGGATTAAAATATTAAAAGATTATATTTTGTTTAAATTATTTCATTTTCTGTAAACATAGTTAGAAACATTTCAAGTGCTTTGAGTATTTACTGCTGTTTTGATGTCACTGTTTTGTATTAAATACTTTTTAATCTTAAATGTTTATCACATAATTATATAGAAATATGGAAGTCAACTTCATTTAAAACTGTTTATTTTATTCAAAAATACAATCAAAATTTTATGCATAATTATGTTAATCTTCCCTTTTTAGAAACATTTACAACAGCTTGTGTTTGAATGATTTTAAGTTTTAAACCTGTCAATATATTTATGAGAATTTTTCAAATATGTACTGACTGATAGATGTGCATGCTGATCTTGGCCTGCCCTGGTCAAATTGACAAAATCAGTTGCCACAATTAAGCTGGCTAAGAGTAGGAATTTACAACAATAATTCATAAACATCAATCTGAATCAATACCCTAAGCTTCATATTTTGATAATTATTATTCCCTGAAATTATTTATGTATTATTTATACTTGAAAATAAAAATATCTATTATTGAATTGCATATATATTAAGAAAATATGTCCAAACAAAATTTATTTTCCTTTTTTCCAAAAAAAGCTTATATTAAAAGAAATAAGAAATCACTTCTTGTAAACGTCAGGATACAAAATATTTACTTTAGAAAGGGCTTTGATTCTTTCTGTAACCCCTAGCAACCCAGCGGAAACTATCTACACTTGATTGAAAGCCTGTAAAGATGTAACAATAAGTTCCATTAATCATGTGTGGCTTATACTAGCCTGCAAGTATTGGTTGATGAAGTTATATATCAATAATTGTGTTAAAATTCCAGTTGAGCCCATTACATCTCTGATATAATGGAAGGAAAGAGTGCTATTCTGTCACTCAATCATATTGATTTGTAACTAAAGTCTTACAGATTAGGAGAGACATGTTCAATATAAGAATTTTGCTGTGAAGTTTAAGGTTTTAATTTTTTTAAAGGTTATACTCCCTATAAGTTTCTTAGTTGGAGCCTATAATTTTTACAGACATTCTGAATTTTTTAAATAAGAGGCCATTTTAAATGAATGTTGTTTTTTAAGGCCCTAACTAGGTGTCACTGTTAATTCATCCAGTAATTAGTGTGAGGGTGTTGGGGGTCCGATGATCCACCCTCATACTGTACATGTTTTTGCCCTCATACCTTACATCTATCTATCCTTATGTCTTATATTTATCCATCTTCATGCCTAACATCTATCCATTTTCATACCTTGCATCTATCCATCCCCATGCCTTACATCTATCCATCCTCATTCCTTACATCTATCCACCCTCATACCTTACATCTATCCATCCTCAAGCCTTATATCTATCAATCCTCAAGCCTTTAATCTATCCATCCTCAAGTATACATCTACCCATCCTCATACCTTACATCTATCCATCCTCAAGCCTTACATCTATCAATCCTCAAGCCTTTCATCTATCCATCCTCAAGCCTTACATCTATCCATCCTCACACCTTACATCTATCCACCCTCCTGCCTTACATCTATCCATCCTCCTGCCTTACATCTATCCATCCTCACACCTGACATCTATCCATCCTCAAGCCTTACATCTATCCATCCCCATACCTTACATCTATCCATCCTCCTGCCTTACATCTATCCATCCTCATACTTTACATCTATCCATCCTCATGTCTTACATCTATCCATCCTCATATATTACATCTATCCATCCTCATGTCTTACATCTATCCATTCTCATGCCTTACATCTATCCATCCTCATACCTTACAAGACTATCCATCCTCATACCTTACATCTATAAATTATTTATGAACCCTGAAGATGGCTAGGCTGTTCAGTAACCACACTGGTATCATAAAAGTTGATTTGCAGTTGATTACTTATTTTTTACTATATAAATTTATCTATTTAATCCAAGGCTTAAGACTTTTTGATTTTACAGGTTTTGTTTCATGGAATTTCTCCTTAAAGTTGCTAATGTTGACAGTTGTCAACCAAAACATGACAACCAGCTAGTAGTGGGGGATGTTTTATAATTCCAAAGGTGTACTGAATCATGTAAATAGGAAACAACTGCTTTATTTCTATGAAATTTCATGAAGTAACACTCTCGCTTAGGACCTGAAAAAATTATATATTCTTGCTTCACTAAAATTTATGAATTATTGTTACAAGTATCCTTGTTTCCATGACAGTGGCTCTCCCTTAAAAAATAAAAGGGCCGTACTACGATGAAGTCATTGTTTATCACCGTTAAATTGTCTTCCAAACAAATTCCCTTAATCTTAAAAGTTTAAGCCATGTAATCGAATACATTTGAAGTTTAAAGCGTACTTAAATTCCAGACTTTTATTTGGGTTACTGATTAAAACCGTATATCAGTTTATGTTCCCCCTTAAAAAATAGAACTGCAATATAGAAACATTGAATAGAGACAAATCAAAATGTGACAGTTGAAAGATTAACGGGTATCTTACAGATACGTTTTTTTTGGTTTATAATCAGAGTTGCCAAATACATCGGAGGCCATTTCCCTAAGTGTTTGACGTCTTTATGTTTAAATAGCAACGGTACGATATGTTGACACTGGTAGTGGGCTAGTTCAAACTTTCACTCGTTTTAAGAAAATATTGACAAAAGTTTTACTGAACCTGTTCAGAGTTTCTGATAAAACTGATAGGGATATTTAAACTGAAGTAGAGTGAGAGAAAAAAATTACGACAAATTTTAAGATTTTTTATTTCTTTCATTACAGAATGAAGAGCATGACAATGTTACTTATTGTTCTTATAAGTGTCAGTTTGATGAAATAATTAAAAACTTGTTTAACCCCCTAAATAGGTGTTTTAACTCATTCCCACATTTTTTGAATAAGGAAAAGTTTTTCATGTAATCAGATGTAATACTGAGTCAGTCTGCCCTCTAAGTTCAATAGGTGCATTAAGCTCAGTAGGGGAGTAGCCTCCATGGCTGAGTGGTTAAGGTTGTTGATTTGGAACTTGATTAATAACTGGTTAGTTATCCAGGAAAGCTGGTAAGGTGAGCTGATCATCAACTACCGGGATGTATGAGCAAAAAATTTTTTTTAAACCAGACAAATAATCAAACGGTTATGTATCAGACTCAGTAATTTAAGGAATTAAAACATACAATCCAATTTGATTGGACATCCATTGATATTTTAGTACAAAATTACTGATTGTTCTTTATAGAGAACAAACATCAGAAATGAGTCAATCATAGAAATTGTAGCTGAAATTTGTTTTTTGATTAGTTTTATTGGAAAAATGAATATTTTTCTGTTGAAATAAAGAGGATATTGAAATAACCAATGCTATTGATCAATTTCATTTCGGTATGCTTTGTAATGTTTAAGGGCCGATTAGATAATGTTTGTTGTTAATTAACACACTTTTGCATTTTCCTCTTTATTCGTAATGTTTTCAAATAGATAGTTAGGAAGCAAACAAATGAAATTGTATCAAATATATAACATGAAATCAGAGCCTTTCACCTCATGACACTATTTTATAATGAACACAATGTCCTCCCTGTGTATATATATTTTGTACACTTCCTTTGCCGTTGAAGAGTTGATTTAATATTTAAAGTATAGTGATACAGTTTTAAGATAGAGTTTGATCTTTATGGACCTGTAGAAACTTTCCATTTTATAATATTGAAAGAAAGTTCAATTAAATTTAAATTAGAAAATTATTGCTTGAAAATATAAGAATGAATTTTGATTTTTGTATAATCCAAGGACTGGTAAAAAGCAATTTAATTGCAATTGTATTACAACAGTTGATATAATGCACAAAGAATTTTCTACAACAGACTTTAACAATTTTGATACTGTGGAGGTAATTGGAGAAAAACAGTCTGTCAAAATATAAAATATCCATTTTAACTTTCTTTCATAAAGTAAAATGAAGAAGAAGTTGTTAACCTCAATGAGACACAAATTGTCAAGCTTGACATTTCTTTTGATTGGAAATTGCTTTCTTTTCTTATTTTTTGGATACAGTAACTCTTGAAAAACAATAAAAAATATCAACCATACGCATCCTTCCTTTAAGTTCATCAAAATTATTGAAACTGACCTTAAATTTTTGCTGTATGCAAGTCAATTTTAATGCTTGATGTTTTCATACTTTTTAGCCACTTCATACTTTTCAGGCACTGGGATATTAATTAATTAAACACTAGATTTTCAAATGCTTTTGCATACCTGCAAAGACTGGATCTACCCATGTGATCAGTGCAGACCAAAATTTAAACCGGCACACCTAGCGATCCATAGATTACTAGTCTGACGTGTTTTAATTACTCGGCCATGCTGCCATTATGATGAATGGTTTTGCCCAGATCGAAAGATGAACAAGTGCATTTATGATACACCATTTTTAGTATAGTAAGTTTTAATATAAAAAATGTCTTTTAATATTTAATTATTTTTTGTTATATACATGTATATATCTATTGCAGATGTCGGATCTTCACATTTACTTGGTGCCACCAGAAATTTGGAGAGAGAAATACCATAATGCATTAAACCAAAACATTAATGAAACAGTTTCCATAGGTTTTATCAGGTAAGTTAAATTTGTATGATTTAAAATTGTGGAAGAAATTATTCAAACATCTGTGACTAGTGTCAAAAGATGAGCCGGTGTCAGTTTTTGACACATTTTTTAAATATTTTTAACATATACTTGATAAAGTCACATGACAGATAGTTGGTCTTTAGACTTTTATCCTAAACTAGTTGCTTCTTATTGCATCTCAGTTTATAAACGTTTAAGTTATAAAACAACAGATTAAACATAAAAAAGAATAATTGAATTTATATTCAAATTTGAATTCTAATGTAAAACTATAATTTTATTCCATTAACGATAGCTTAATTCTACATGGAGCAATTGTTAAAGAGGCTGTTGCACCAGTAATATTTTTTCACAATTCAGATATATATCTGTAAAATAGAAATCTACTTCTTTCTTATGTCTGTTCACATAGCATCAGATTTAGCGCGGGGTTGCTGGTTGGATCCTTTGGTAAGGCGAAAATTCTCCGCTACAATTGATCTCAGGCATTGAGTCTAAATTTATATGTTATTTGTCTCTCACTGCTGATTCAGAAACCATGTGGGATTATCAGTCGTTTGTGGAGAAATTGGTAATTACGTTTGTGGAGAAATTGGTAATTACGTTTGTGTGGAGAAATTGGTAATTACGTTTGTGGAGAAATTGGTAATTACGTTTGTGGAGAAATTGGTAATTACGTTTGTGGAGAAATTGGTAATTACGTTTGTGGAGAAATTGGTAATAACTTGTTAGTTATCCAGGAAAGCCAGTTTGTTTGATTGACCATAACTAGATATTACCGTATAAAGCATGTTTAATTGGCGTAAAAGGCAGAAAAACAAATGAACGGTCTGTTTTTGATTTTTTATTTAAATTTCAATAAAGGGTCTCATGGGAAGCTATTAAGAGGACAATGATTAGGAATTTTATCATTAGATATTGACAATTAAATTCAGACTTTATCCCCTGGATTTATAATATTAAGCTGTATTGTCAGATAGAAGCAGTGAAGTAATACAACTTTTATCATATAAATGCCAGTAAATGACTTATAATGTGAATCTACCATCTTTCGAAAATTCTTACTCAAATTGATCTCGAAGATTTACTAGTTTGCTTTATGTTAAAATGGATTTGGTCACTTGATATATACCAAGCAATAGCTTATAGTGTGATAGATAACCAGGGCAACCATGATAATTAAAAGTTATTTTCCCCCATTTATTAGGTACTTGTAGATGAACCAGGTCTTATTTATAAGATCTTAAATGGCTGAGTTTAATGGGTTTTAAGAGATCTTGAGCAATTTTGTTTTGATTTTCTGTTTTTATTGAAACTTAGTATTTAGAGTTCAATTGAACACTATTTTAACTTGGTCATATAATAGTTCATTCAATTATCAATGACCTAATGGTGTGCCAAAGTTAAATCAAAATACTTCATTAAACAGATTTCACTGCAACATTGCCTTTTACTGTATGTTTTGTAATGGAGGAAGTGACCTTTCAAAATATTAAATTTTAAAGCAGCATGCCAACATTAAAATGTATTTAAAAGTAAAATGTTGTAAAGTGAACAAAGATATTAATTTATACATTGCAAACATTATTTACAATCCACGTAAATTATCAAAAAGAGGTCAAAATATTCAAAGTAGCTAGCCCATACTGCATTAGTAATGCAGTGCAATATGGTGTTAAATACTCCAAAATCAGTCATTTAAATCACACATAACATGTCAATCATGTTTAATCTTGAATCTTTTTACTTTTATTAAAATCTAAGTATATTTTTCCTCAAGTTTGATTGTCTTGAAAATTTTTGGCTAATCTGGAAGCATGCTGCTTTAAAATTTAATATTTTGAAAGGACTTCAGAGTAAAAGGAAAATCTTTTAATGTGTTGATTGATTTTCTTCCTGATAAATAAATTGATCAGATTTATGTCTAAATGGCTATCATTGCCTGCTTAATTTTTAAATGAACTTGTTCAACTCAAACCATTATTAATTCTATGGATATATCAAGATGAAAATATAAAAGTACAGAGCCAATGGTCAGATTGCATTGATGTGCAGGCTGGTTTGCTCTATACTGGTTGCAAATGCTGGTTATTTTCGGTTTCAGCAGATTAATTTGCGTTAAAATTAAAACTAACTAGAATGTTGCAATTGCTGCTCTATTTGATTGTTACATGATGTACAATGTAGTGAAACCCAGACAAGAACATATTATTATTATTAATCTATTTTTTTTGTAACTTTAGGTTTAATAAAACATTCATTAAATGGTTTCTCCCTTTTTTACTACAAATAGGAAAACTTTACAAGTTAGATTTAAGTTTGCGATCCTTTACTTTAGGAAAAGCAAAAAGTCGGTAGCTTTAAATTTTTGTGTATTATGTCGAACTTATGTCATTGAAAAACTTGTGTTGGTTTGTTAGTATTAAAGATTGTACAAGATCTCACAGCTATCTGATTTTTACTAAATGATCGGATCTTTTTCAAAACGCTCTAGATATTACCAGTGTGTTTGTATGGATATGATATCAATAAAAGATTAGACAATGTGTATACCGTTTCGTATTATGCATTACATATTAAAAGATAATCTTGCGTCGGCTTGGACATGGCCCAAATCTGTCAATAAAGCTATAATAGTCATGTTTCATTTGTTCAAAGTTCCAGTTCATTTAAGTGCTGTAAAATAGCAGCAGTTTGTAGCTGCAATATTGTTAATAAATATTATTTTTGTAATTTTATTAACCCCCTACATATATACCCCAAATAAAAACAAAACAAAAAACTTACAAGAAAAACTAAATCATTTTGTGCAAATTATTTGTTTGTTTGTTTGGTTGTTATGGCAATTTTTAAATGTTTAGTTTTAACTCAGCAGTTGGTCGACCTAACTGGTTTTCTTGAATAACTACCTGATATCCAGTTATTAGCAAGTTTTTCACAAAAGTCCAACTACTGGTACTTAAGCCCCACATGGTTTTTGGACCAGCTATCAGAGATTAAGGACTCAGTGTAACAAATAGATTGTTAGAAGAATTTCACCCGCACTTTTGGATCAAATCTGCAACCACTGGTTTACAAATCTCACTTTCCTATGAAATGAGCTAAGCAGATGAACTAAACATCATTTGTGAAATAACATGAGAATCAACTTTGCATAATTTAAAATCAGGACATCCATTAAGTTCCAAAATGTGGAAGTCAAAGACTGCAAAATGTCTGACATTGGAAGTCACTTTTTGTAGGTTTAAGATTTAAGAAAAGGGTTAGGGGCCAGTTACACTGACAGTCGGTCCCCAATCGGTCATATAATTTTAAATTTACTCGCTGTTATGATCGGTTGTCATGCGTGATTTTATTTCTGGTTTTCTGTGTAAACGGCCATCGGTGACAGAAAGCAAACTCAAACGGGAATGGGTCGATGATTAATTGCTGAAATACTTTTGGTTTTTATTGTTTGTAAATCGGAGCTAAATCGGGCGTAACGCTGATTAATCGGTGTTTGATAGCTAGTCATCAGTGGTTAAACACTTTCCGTCAGATATGGCCGGTGATTCATATTTGGTTATCTTTGTCCGATCGGCGATATCGGTGATTAAGAGCTTGCATATCTCCTGATATAGGTTGCCGTCGGTTATTTTTAAAATATTTTCACCGATCGAGAATTTTAAACGTGTTTAAAAATCCCAATCGGTAATTTTTCACCGATGAAACTTATCTTTCCCCAATAGCAGTTGATAGGTGGAAAACAGGTGACCAATAGGTGATATCGGTGTTAAATACGTTGTCATCGGTTCACTCCATAATTTGGCTAAAAAAACTACCGATCAATCACCGATGGCTCTGTGTAACTGGGGTGTTATATTTTAGAAGTTACATTAGCCAAATGACTCACAAACTTCCACTTATTGAAGCCCTGAAAATATTTTTTATACAATTTATCCATGTCTGACAGTTTTTCTTTATGGCCAAAAACCTGCATCATAGCATAATAATTGTTATTGTTTTTTTATTAACCATTAAGTAAACTTCTTTTAACCCTGTCTGTATAGTGGAGTCAGTAACAAGTTATTGAACTATTAAATTATTAATACCATAAACATGATTTATGTTATGATTTTTAAGCTGTTTTTTATATTAACTTTGAAAAAACAAATGACTTAAAGTGGAAGACTATATTATCTGATGTAAATCGTTCTAAGCATTTTCATTGCAAATAAGTTTCCAGTTTGTTGTCAGTGCATGCCTATTTTTAGAAATATATATAAGACCATAATATAAGACCAATATGTATGTAAGACCATAAGATAATTCAGCTGTCTTATGATCTAGCTGATGACTGTGCATGATTTTAACATTTTGATGTTGAAATATTTTAACCATTTGTCCACTGGCGCCAGCTGTTAAAATCCCCAATGCAACCAATCATTGCCTCTTATCATAAAACTCCTTGAGGTGCCTCTCTAATTATACGTTGGCCGGAAAAAATACATGCTATTGCAAACAGTTCAGCTGCAAAGTTGCATTTTAATACATGACATTCTTAGAAGAATTTAAGTAAAATGAAATTTATATCACACACCCGTGCCGATTTTGGCACTCTGTAAATTAGGGTATTGCATGGCCATGCATATATTTTGACAAACATAGAGTAAAGACCCGCTAAATGTTAGCGTTATACTATAGGCGCGTCAATGAAAAATGACTCTTATTTAACTTTAAACGATATTTATTTTGGGTATGTGGTAAATAGAATATTAAATTTGTGTAAGTTCATTACTGAATTTATTGCACTCGTTGAATAAAATAATATACTCGCCAGAGGCTCGCATATTATGATTTTATTCAACTTGTGCAATATTGCAGTATTCACAGAACTTACACTCATTCAATATCCTCTATTTGTGCCATTCTGGAAGAAATTCCTTCCTTATAAAATTTTTTAAAAGATATTTGTTAAACTTATGTAAAAAAAAGCCAGATTATCTGAA